CCCCCCCAAGAAAAAAGGCTGTGGTGTTCACACACACAAACAAAGAAACAAACATACAAACAAAATACAAAACAAAACAAAATAAAACAATATAAAACAAACAAACATTACAAGGTAAAAAAATGTGCAAGGAGGGAAATTGAAGGTAGTCGTTTGTACCGGTGATTGTCTTATACAGGTGGTCGCTACAGTAGCTTCGACTGTTTTATAATATTAACAGATTGATGCCTACGTTAGGCAAAAGTTTTACGGCACTTGCAACTAACTCTATTAGGTCATATAGTAACATTTCAAAGATTAGAGGAGTTACAAGAGAATAACATACAAAGAAAAGAAGGAGGGAAGATAAAGACGATAGATGACACGTTGGAATTAGGAGCTCATCAATTTGAGGCATATGGAATTATTAGTAAAATCTAAACGCCTGATAATTACGTTATTTTACCCAAGCAAAAAACAGGGAACAGTTTTGGAATTAAATATTCGTAAATAGGAGGGATGAGATAGTGCTTGATGAAGCCCTCGTGGGGCGCTCGATATTAAAAACAATCAGGAAACGACAAATGCAGTTTTTGGGACACCTGAATAGACATAAGGGTCTTGAACATCTGGCTCTCACTGGCAAAATTGAGAGCAAGCGAGGCAGGGGTAGGCCCAGAACAACATACTTGGGAAACCTAAACAGATGGGTGACAGTGAAAGATCAGGGAAACGTAGCTTTTTTTAGAGCATCTGAGCAAAGGAATGAATGGAGAACCATGATCGCCGATGTCTGTCGCTGATCTGGCACTGGATGTTGATGATGATGATGATGATGATGATGATGATGATGATGATGATGATGATGATGATGATGATGAAATAGGGGTGAACACTAGACTGGTTTTGTACAAAGCGGTTGTTGCCACTAACATATTATGTACATAACTTTTTGACAGATATCATGGAGCTGATATCGATTTAGCTTATTAAAGAAATTATTTTTCTTTGGAACAAGACCTTTTTGTTATCTGTTTTATCCAGCATCATTCAATTTCCCTTCCCCGGTATGAGGTAATTAACGAAAAAATTAGGAGTATTGTGGTGAAATCAGCCACTCGTCAAAATGAGGAAAAAGAAGAAACCGAGATTTTCCTTCCCGTTATGATCTTTAAAAATTGATTCCTAACAATTTTCCTTTTTATTTTGCGAGGCGCAAAGGGAG